GTCTGATCTCCAGAATATACAATGAACTCAAGAAACTAGACACTAAAACTCTAATTAACCCAATTAAAAAATGGGGTACTGATCTGAACAGAGAATTCACAACAGATGAACTTCGAATGGCCAGAAGACACTTAAGGTCATGCTCAACCTCCTTAGCGATCAGGGAAATGCAAATCAAAACCACTTTGAGATACCATCTTACACCTGTCAGAATAGCTAAAGTTAAAAACACCAATGATAGCCTATGCTGGAGGGAATGTGGAATGAGGGGAACACTCATCCATTGTTGGTGGGAATGCAAACTTGTGCAGCCACTTTGGAAATCAGTGTGGCGGTTTCTCAGGAAACTGGGAGTCAACCTCCCTCAGGACCCAGCAATTCCTCTCTTGGGAATATACCCTAGAGATGCCCAAACATACTACAAAAGCGTTTGTTCAACTATGTTCATAGCAGCACTATTTGTAATAGCCAGAACCTGGAAACAGCCTAGGTGCCCCTCAATAGAAGAATGGTTAAAAAAGGTGTGGAACATATACACATTAGAGTTTTACTCAGCGGTAAAAAATAATGACATCTTGAATTTTGCATGCAAATGGATGGACATAGAAAACGCTTTACTGAGTGAGGTAAGCCAGACCCAAAAAGAGGAACACGGTATGTATTCACTCATAAGTGGATTCTAACCATAATTAAAGGTCTTTGAGCCTATTATTCGTGATCCTAGAGAAGCTAAATAAGAAGACGAACCTGATGAAGATTATTTACCTATCCGCCAGGAGGTAGGAAATAGTCAAGAGTCCCAGGTAACCTTGGGTGCATGGGGGGGGGGGGTGGGAGGGTTGTTGGAAGGGGAGAGGGTTAGAGAGAAGGGAGTAGGGGAGGAATGGAGAAAGCTCGGTTGACCGGGATGGGGGGAAGGGAGGAAGGATGAATGTGAGATCAGGGAAGAATATATTTCAACTAAGGGAGTCATATTAGCGTTTACAGGAAACTTGATTATATATGGGATCCCAGGTCCAAGGAGAGATCCCCAGATTGTTCTCTGGACAGAGGAGGGGGTGCCTGAACCGGCCTTGGCCCGTGACCATACTGATGAATATTTTGCTTATCACCATAGATCCCTCATCTGGCGTTGGATGACGATACAGATGGAGGCCCGCGTTGGAGCACCGAACTGAGCCCCCCAAGATCCAAATGAGGAGCAGAAGGAGGAAGAAAATGACGAAGGACTGCAAGGGATACTATCACCCACTGATACAAGGGGTCGGATCTAATGAGAGTTTACCAAGGCCAGATGGACCGTGACTGAACGAGCATGTGATCCAACCAGATTCTCTGAATGTGGCCGGATTTTCTGAATGTGGCTGGCCTGCAGTCTTTCCGAGAAGCCATTGACAATGACACTGGGACTGGTTTCCTCTGCATATACTGGATTTTTGGGATCCAGTCTGTTTGGATGCTCACCTTCCTGGACCTGGAGTGAGGGGGGAGGAACTTGGACTTCCCACAGGGCAGGAGACCCTGACTTCCCT